AGCAGGTTGAGGCTGCGGTGGCCAGAAGCGGCCACTGCACTCCAGTCTGGGCAACAGAGTTCTGAGACTCTGACTCAAAAAAAAAAAAAAGATTGTTCTATTCTTACAATATACAATCAAAAAGATAAATAAACCATGAAAATGTCTACACGTAAGTGAGCTTAAATTTATGTATCATTACTCTTAGATAGCATACTACAGTTTGCCAAGAACTCAAATCCATTACCACATCTAACACTTACCACAAGCCTGTGACCTAGACAAGAGCAGAATTCGTTCTGCAAATATGCAGGCTCAGAGACACCAGAAGATTAGCTCTAGCACTTACAGTGAACTACCTTCAACACAGCACATTACACACCAATTTTAAAAATCAAAGTACAGACAAGCCAGATATTTATTCCATATAGCTAAAATAAACCAAGTCAAACAAAAGTACATTTCACAGTAAAAAGAATACAGTTTTAAAGAGAAAATAATTAACAAACGGTTAACGCATGACACATAAGACGGCAGATGTAAAAAGGACAGCTAATATCCGAACTTCCGTGCCTGGACCATATAAGCACACGCAAGCCCATCCTCTGAGCCATCCAGGAAAGGGCACATTCACCAACTCGGCCCTGGGGATTCAGCAACCTGAATACCAAGCCTCACTCATTTCAAAGCCGATGTCAAGTGGGCCTAAATCAACCCAAGTACAACTTCTGTCAACTTGCCTGAGGCTTACTCTGCACATTTACTCTAGCTGTCAGTGTAATGTACAATGCTGCACCCATCCTAAGCAGGGTTAAAGGCATTCCCGTCTACAATTCTGCGAACACTGGGTGGGACTGCCACTTGTCCACAACCAGCTTCAGGAAGAGCCAATGTGCTGTGATAAGCACCTAAGAGACTGTCAATACACAATTCTTAAAACAGTCACTCATGTGCTCATTTAACAACTAAGTATTATCCCTCAGGGCAGGTTCTGTGCAAGGCAAGATGGTTCCTGCTCTCCTACAACTTGTAGCAGAATGGGAAAAAGGGACAGAAAACTTCCCCGGGGAAAGAACTAAGAGGCACAGAAGGCTGAGAGGGCACAACCCAGGGCCCGTTGCGGGTGGCCACCCAGCTCATCGGAAGAAACGCAGCAGGAGCTGAGGGGCGACGGATGAAGAGGCTCCAGGCCCCCCCGGACAGGAGGAGGCGCCCCTTCCGCGGCAAGAACAACACAGCCAGGGGCCTGGTGCACAAAAGCAGAGGGGAGCGTGCCCGGCTGGAGAGGGACACAAGGGACAGAGCACGTTGGGCTTAGACAGCCACAGTTCGGGGCCTGGTCACGACGTGCCGTGCTCAAAATCTGGTGCTAAAAAGTGCATACAGAGTGAGGTATCAAGAACAGGCCGAGACACCCAGTGAGCAGAGGGGCAGGCAAGAGACAGGGGAGCATGGTGTGGAGACAGGGAGCAGCGGGAGCCAGGAGGTCGAAAGCAGAAGGACCTGACAAAGAGCGGGCGCCCCAAGAGAGGACTGGACAAGGGCCCGAGTGGGCTGAGCCCATGACCTGGCAGGACCACGGGGGAGAGACGACTCTGCTGTCTGTTTCCGGCCATTCTGAAGGAAAACCCCGGAGCCACCAGCACGTTGAAACCCAAGTTTCTGGACATAGGCATATGGCACTTTGAAGCACCCGAGTACCTCGGCATGCAGCCCGTCGGAGGTGAAGACGTGAGTGACGGTCATCTCGTTCTTTGTCAGGGTTCCCGTCTTATCTGAACAGATCACATTGCAGCAGCAATAAAGAACAAAGCACCACGTGTCAGCAGAGTCAGGAAGAGACACAGACTCACTCAGAAAACAAGCCAGGACCCTCAGACTCACTGGCAACGTTAGATTAACGTCTCTTACTACGTTTGCTTCATCATAAGGTAAAGCTTTTGCAATTAAAAGTTACATATTAACATTTATTTATTTATAGCTAGTGTCTATAAAGCTACTCTTCATTATCTTATGTAATAATTTTAAACAATACACTTTCTAAAAGAAAGTCTGAAGGGTTCCTAAATATAAACCCACATAATTTTTTCAGTCAGAATTTTCAAATCTCATATACCGAGACGATATTAAAATGCAGGCTAGAATTTAAAATTCGGTACATTTTGAATAGCTTACATTTAAAAAAAAAGTTTCACGGCATATTTGCACATCAAGTTATATATACCAATATAACTACTGTATACTTACTGTTCATATAAGCAATTCAGTTCATATGACACTTGGGGTCCTGTACTTATACATCATACTTTCCTTTACACGTCAAAAGTGAAAAATCCTACCAATATTATTTCAAGGTTTCGTTTGCTGTATATATTTTTTTAAACATGATTTGAGCATCAGAACATTCCATAATGCAGACAGATTTCTCATAAAATTCCCTCTCCTGAGGGATATGAATTTTGAATTGCCTTTTTTGGTTGTTAAAACCATACCTACTACTGCCGTAAGCCAGACATCACTGGGCACATCTCAAAGCAAAAACTATGAAGCCCAAAGATGATTTCCTGTTGACGTGAACTGGCACGCCATTGCACAAATATGCCCTTAACACGAACTTACCCAGAGTTTCCACAATAGGCAGTTTTTTCACAATGGCCCTTTTCTTCACCATTCTCATAACACCAAGGGCTAGAGTCACCGTGACCACGATGGGAAGACCTTCTGGAATTGCTGCTACAGCCAAACTAGGACCAATATACACATATATTCAAATGTAAGTTAAACAGCACCCATGGCAATAATTTGAACTGGATATTACTGAAAATAAAGCCTAATAAAATCAAATTAATACGATCAACACTCAAAAATTAAACTTCTCAAAAGGAAGGGCATGATTAACATTTACTAGACATGTACTAGCTGTCAGGTTAAGCAGAGAGTTTAAAGAGCATCACTTCTGGCGTCAAGTTGTCAACGTGTGTACCCCGAGTGTCACCAGCTCTTACTTGTGTGACCCTGAGCTACTTACTAATCCACCTCATTTGTAACATACAGATAACAACCAGTATTCACACAAAAACCTATACATGGATATTCACAGCAACACCACGCACCACAGCCAACAGATGGAAACAGGCCAAATTCTATCAACTGGCAAATGTAAAACTGTGACATCCATGCAACGGAGTATTTGGCCACAAAAAGGAATGAAGTACTAAAAACGTGCTACAACATGGATGAACCCAGGAGACATTGTGCTACGTGAAAAGACAGATGTAGAAGGCCCCATATTGTATCATTCCCTTACATGAAATATCTAGAACAGGCAAACCCATGGACTAAAAGCGGTGAGTTGTGGCCAGGGATGGGAGGGAAGACTGGGCAGCGACTGCTTAATGTGCACAAGGTTTTCTTCTGGGATGATGGAAAAGTTCTGGAACCAGGGGTGATCACTGTACAATGCTGTGCATACACTTAACTCCACTGAACAGCTATACATTCTAAAATGGGAGAATGTGCCACATTTATTTTATCACCCTCTTAAAAACGATTTCACTGTTTCCCTTTGTAATTTAAAAAAACGCAAGTCTATTTTCTGTGCCATTCCAGATATTACCTCTGACTCTTGTACAAACAAAGACACACGCACTCCTGGCCTTCAGCTACCACCGTTCCCTCTGCTGCTTCATCTTTTTCCTTGGCACGATCTAATTTAGGGTCATTGGCATCCTTTCCTATAATCATAATTAGCCTTGTCTTGCTTTGTAGACAGGCTGATTTGAAAGGCTGGAAGCAAACAAGCAACACCAACGACATCACTGGTTAAAGAGTGTGTACTGCAGAGTCAGGAAATGTGTGCTATCATTAACTCTTCTTGGTCTCCTTTGGGATACTCTAGGGGAGTATTCCCAATTCAAATGGAATCCTGTTTTCTTCCTCTTCCATTAATCTTCACTATGCCCCAAAAAAGAAAACTAGACATTATCATTGGAAAATCTACAACCAGAAGGCCTCTTCAATCTTCTACGTTTTAAGTCATCTTACAAGTAATTTGCAGAGCAATACACAGATTGTGAGGAGTTTCACTAGAAATATCCATTCTCATTTTATAACCCCAAACCGTTCCTGGACTTGAAGGTCTATAAAATGAAGCAGAAGCAACTAATTGCTCATGAGCTGCCATTCATGACCCTGAAAAATTTTCATCTAATAAATGCTGGTTTCAGATTCCAAAAAATATGTCAAACAGGTTCTAGCTTATAAAGTCTTCTTTTCACATTTGTTTTGTCAAAATGCAGACCCTTCTGAAAACACTGATGGTTCATAACTTTGTTGAAAAGAGGACAGTCATCTTCTTTGTTCTATAACTGCAAAACATTTTCAATTTTAGACTTAACGAATACCAATTACAATCATGAATCCAAAGGAATTTCCTATTTCTGCATAATCTATATCCTTTTTTTTTTTTTTTTTTGAGTTGGAGTCTCACTCTGTCGCCCAGACTGGAGTGCAGTGGCCACTCCCGGCCACCGCAGCCTCAACCTGCTGGGCTCTGGCGATCCTTCCGCCTCAGCCCTCCGAGTAGCTGAAATTACAGGCATGCGCTACCACGCCCAGCTGATTTTTTGATTTATTGTAAAGATGAGGTCTCGCTGCCCAGGCAGGTGTCGAACCCGCAGGCTCAGGCAATCCACTCACCTCAGCCTCCCAAAGGCGTGGGATTACAGGCTGAGCCACCGAGCCCGGCTAATCTATATCCTTTTAACTATCTTTATAATCACACCAGCCTTCAGCATTTCTTCATTTGTAAAAACTATGAAGTAAATAAGCATCATAAAAAATGAACAAATACTGTCATACATTCTTTTAGCAAAAAAGAATGGGCCAGATTCTTGTTTGAAAATATTGCATTATAAAGTCCACGCCACAGAATGACTAACTGGATGAGAATTCTTGGTTTCTGTTTTGTTTTGGTCCATTAGAAACACTGTTCATCAATTCCAGAGTTTGAGAAAATCTGGAGTACCATCATCCAGAGACTCACAGTGCTGAGATTTCACTCACAAGATTAATTTCACCACCATCATCACAGCCAATGGGGCTTCTACCTGGCTCTGCAAGCATCTTCTGATTTGTCAAATACTTTCTGAAAAATCTTCTCGGTCAATTATTCTCTTTGCTATTATTGTAGAAAGTGAAAAATAATTCTGAATTCTCACTTTTGTTCAACGAATCAACACTGAAAAAATTGATTCAACAACCAAAAAAAAACCTACAAAGACTGCGTCTTCAGACTTCTTTGAAACCATCTTGAACGATGATGTAATATTTTAGGCAGCACAATAAAAAAACTAAATAATAGGATAGTAGTGATTTATTTTGTCATTAGATCAATGATTTTGGCAATTCCACCATCCTTCAGCTTTCTTATTATTTTAGTCATTTTTAGCACACTTGGAAATAACTGTTAAAATAAATTCCTAGGCTGATAAAATTGCAAAATAATCCAAGAAATATGAAAAAATAAGATCACTAATGATCTTTGACTCCAAAGAGGAAAACTAAAAAAGAAAAAAAAAACCTACTGTCAGATTACATTAAAAGACAACGGAGCAGTGATATCATGTGATCTGATATGCATTCCCTGCAATTACCCATATAGTAACTGCAAAATAGAATTGAGTTTTATTCTATTTTTAAAATTTTTAATTTGTCATTTGGAAGATCTTAAAGAAAGAATAAGTCACGATATGTCAAATATCAATCTGCAGCACTGCTTAATAAAAAATCCTCAAAACCTAGTTAGATACAACAGATATATGCCAATTGTTAAAATCTCAAACTGATTTCCCCATTTTTAATTTATTTCACTTTTAACCCATGGCTTTTTAGATATAGATTTAAACCAAATTCAAATTGCATTTTCACCCCTTTAATGAAAAAAATGCACTCCTTCACTATACAAAATATCTCTTTTACTTCTTATTGACTCTACCTATTCCTTGAATTCTGTTTTACTCTTTTTGAAAGACATTGATTTCTGGTCCTTATTTGAGCTATTATTTCCTAGGCTTATTACAGATGTCACTGTCTAGGACTTCTTTTTCTTACATGGCTTGGTGAGTTTTATCCTTTCTTATATCCACCCATCACCATCTTCCTTTCTTTCAACTTGCTTTGCTAGAAGAGGTAAGAAACAAGGATAGGTAAGAAACAATTGCTCTGAGTACTTGCCTACCTGTTTGGAATTAATTGGACTGACATTCTGGCTAGACACAATTTGCAGATGTGTAATAATTTTCTCACCATAATTTGATACCACTGCTCCACTGTATTTTAATGTCATCTGATGCTGGTATGTCTGAAGAGTTAATAAAATACTTTTCCCCTTCTGCATTTGATTAACTCTCTAGTTCTGGACCACCAGTGACCTGATGGAGTAATATGTCAAGTATGTTGCTAGACAACACCGTTTATGATAAAGGGATCCCCCTGAGAAACCATCTCTGGGCTAGGGAAATAATAATCATCTTACAGGAAGCCACAGCTTGAGTTTCCTAAATGTGGTGACTCTCTTAAGTAGACATGTCCTTGAGGGCACCTAAGGTGCATGTTTCTGGAGACTGCTGCCTCCTGCAGAACATGAGGCGTTTTGACTCAGGGTGCCTTCCACCCTCACAAGGCTGGCCTCATTTCCTCAGACTGGAGGGAGCTGCCTCACCAACTGCTGCAAAGGTTCTCCGACAAGGGACACCCGAAAGGGCCCTGCTGTATTCAGGGCACAAACTCCAGATGTGGCCTGTGGACGTCCTGAGAGGCAGACTCTTCAGAAGAACCCAAAAGGCCATGGTAGCAGAAACTACCACTGCTCACGGGAAGGCCGGTGCCAGCCTAACACTTCCTCTGGAGACAACGGGGCCTTTTTGATGTTTTTAAGATCCACAATGATACATCAAGTTGAAGTTTTTTCCATTCTGCTTGGCATCCGGTGAGCCCTTCCAATTTATAAAGACCTCTTTGGCTTGTGAAAATATTTATGTGTCATATCTTACAAAAATTCCTCATCTCTTTTGAAACTCCTTCTAGTTAGAAACGATATTCCTGAAAGTATTCCTCTTTGCATTTTATCTCCCTCTGTTTCAAAATTTTTACTCCATTTTTGGGAAACCTCTGACTTTACATTACAGCCTCACAACTGAACTTTTAATTTCAGCAATCACAATGTTAAATTTCTAAAAACTTTTTTTGTTCTCTGATCCTTCTCTACAAGTCCATCTATCATGGATGCAGCTTCGCCACAAATCTCTAAAAATACAAATGCCTACTTTTTATTTTGTCTTCTCTTTCTTAAATTTTAATTCTCCCTGAGGTCGATAATTCAGTTTCCACATGGCAGACGTTCCCTCTCGTGCAGCTAGTTAGTCTTCAGTCTGGCACTCCTTGTCTATTTACATATAAAAACTCAGTGGTAGGTTAATAATTCTAGACACCTAAGTGCGGGCTTTTGCCTCTGCTAGATATGTGGTAGGTTTTCATTTTTGTAGAGATCATTTCAATACCATTTTAATGAACTTTTGAACAACGTATTTAAGTAAAGATATTATAGTCTTACAGGTTACATGTAATAGCAACCCCTGTAATAACATGTCGACTATGCCCATGAGAGAAATAAGAGAGAGAAAAGAGACTTCAACTGTAAACAAAGGCTGAGATCTTACCTTACACTAATAGTAAACATTTCCAGGATATCTTTTCCTAGTAACCAGCCAACCAACATGATGATACCTGAAACAGAATTAATTAGCTATTAATTAGCTATTTTCCCCTTTTACATAAAATCACTCAGAAGGGTTACAACAAGCTGGGGGCAACCAAAGGTCCCTTGATATATAAGGAAATGTATATCAAGTGACAATTACAAGGTCTTACAAGGAGCCTGAAGACAGCACTACTTGGAATGATTGTCACATACACACACACACACACACACACACACACACACACACACACACACACACAGTTGTACCTTTGGCCACCACTACCCTACCCACCCCTTAAAACAATAATTTCTATTAATTCAAGAAAACATGACTAGCATTCTCATACAATAGCAAAAAAGAAGACAGCATCAAACATCAAACATAGAGGTCTTCCATTTACTATCAACTTTGTAAAAATAAACCTGGAACTTTATTTCTCATAAACTCAATATCCAAATTTCACACAGTGAGTTGTACTACATGCAAAAGAACACTTAGGACTTGGCTCTCAAAGAGCAACATATCTTACTCAGAGACCTCAAATTGCAGGAACGCGCTTAAGTTTCTACAAAAATCAGTTGACAGTTACCGTGCGCCTTCTTGTAGCCTTTTACCTCCACACCAGGTTTAGGAAGAAAAAGGACACACAGTGCCATCAGAGGTTTGGTATGATGAAGCAACTTTGAAGTTGTGTTCGAAACCAATATGAACATTTGTGCAGCTACAAAACAGTGATCCAGATAGGAGACTTCTAAGATCCTATCCCAAATACTAACCTGACTTTAAAAAAAATACTTTCAATGAATTATACCAAGGGTCAGCAAACTATCATCTGGGGGCTTTCTGCCTGCTTTGATCAATAAAGTTTGCTGGAAAGTAGCCACAACTTGCTCACACACTGTCTACAGTGGTGTTTGTGTGCTGGCCAAGTGAAGTGTTTCCAAGAGACCATGTGGACAACAAGTCGGAGCTGCTCACTCCCCAGCCCTTTATCAAGAAAGTTTACGAACCCCCATCTAGATCTTGATTTCCCATCCTATTCCATAGAACATCCTGGCTTTAAAAAAGCATGCCCAATGTATTAAACATAAAACCAGATAATCACAGAATTGAAACATATCACTAAATTTGAAATGGCTTTATGGTACAGTGTTAATATAAACTAGAAAGATTTAACTGGCTAGAATACCCTTCAATTTATCAAATTCACTATACAACTCCTAAAAAATAAATAGGAATGATCAAGTGAAAGGCGCTATGAGATCAACAAAAACAAGTATCTTCCTATCGTCTATTTTTTATTTCTGATAAAGACAGATGGATAAACAATATTTAAAAATTATTCCACTGACAAGCAGAAATATTGCTTAAAATTGCATTACTTACTTTAAAACTCTAAGCTAGCCAGAGTAAATAAAATAACATGGTGAGAAAATTAAAGAAAAGGTAACAGATGCCAAAAGCAACGTACATGCTTAATGTATATGACAAAGACCTCATCTCAACTCAGTAAAGAATGGATTGTAGAATTAACATAGTAGCATAATCAGTTAAGTTTTTACTAAAAAGTTATAACTCTACCCTAAGTGGTGTACTAAAATAAAGCTTAAATAAAACAGTAAAATTAAGCATCAAAAATAAAAACTATAAGCTGGTCCGAAGGTCCCAAGCTATCTCAGTGGATTATTCACAGTCAGTTACAGACTGAATTCCTTGCTCTACTCTTTGCCCCCTTCTCACTACTGCACACGACTAGTCTTAAATATATAAAATAAATAAAACTGAAAACAATATTAGAACAATGTTTAAATAAATATTTCTGAACATGGGGTTGGGACAGTCTTTATGAATAGAACAAAGACAGAAACTTTAATTGCAGAGATTATCTATAGGAGAGCACGAACAGAATCCCAGGAAAATCTCAATGACACACATCTCTCTCCTACCAAATTTATTTTAACCCCTCAAAGGCAACTTAAGAATTAGGGGAGAAAATACTTCTAACTTAAACAACAAAAGGAATGATAATCTAGTTACATAAAGAGCTGCTACCAATCTAAGATACAAGAGAAGTAGACAAAAGAAATAGTTGGTAGGTCACAAAATGAAATAAAAAGGATCAACACAAACATGACAAATTATTCAGCTTCTCTAACAATGAACTGTGAAATCAAATAATGAAAAACTTTTGATTCACCTGGAAAGTTAATGGCAACACTCAAATGTGGTCAAAAATTAAAAATTTACAGACACCCTATAACTCAAAAATCTTACTTCTAAGAATTTGCCCTTAAAAAAATGAGAGGTGTTCACAATAAAACCTACACTGAAGAATTATTTATACGCGCAAAAAAAAAAACCTTTAAAAATCTAGATAAATACCTAAGAGGGGACTGTTCATGTTTTTCCACAAAAATGAAATGCCATACAACCTTTAAATTTGCTTTATGCCAGCATCGATTTAATGACAAGGAGTTTATGACAGGATACACGACACAAAAAATGAAAACCAGTCCATAAAACAACAGTATCACGTTTTTGTTGAAGACTAGGAGAAAAAATACTAAGATGTTTACAGAAATTTTCTTTGATTATAGAATTATACAGTTTTATTTTTTCCTTTGTCAAAAAGGACAATGGCTAAGGGTCAGTTTTATAGTTTAAAAAAAAAAAGAAAGAAAAACCAATAAATAGAACCACCCTTCACACTCAAAAAAGAAAACCCAAATAAAAATAGAATATATATACATACTCACTCTCCTCTTACCTATTATACCAAAGGAGTAAAACGAAAGTTGTTTTCCTAAGAGGTCCATGCTCTTCTGCAGAGGGGTTTTTGGCGCCTTGACAAATTAGAGAAGAGTGTCACCACAACCTCCTAAACTCACTCAGCTTCACCAGGTGCCAGGGACTCTGCTAAGAGTCTGCCATACCAGTTCCTACGCTAACCACATGACTCATAAGGCAAACATTCCCACCTTCACTGAGAGGACTGAGGCTCAGATTTTAAACAAGGCCCAGGTCACACAGTCAAGGGTGAGGAAGGCAGGCAGACAGGCGTTAAAAAGCCTGTTTATCTTAAAAGGTCTGTTCTCCCTGCTCTCCCCTCTGAGGAGAAACCTGCTCTCCTGCCTAGCACTCTCCGGGACTCCAGTCCACCAGCTGCCCCTCACTGCCTTTTTCTTTTTTTCTTTTTTTTTTTTTGAGTTGGAGTCTCACTCTGTCACCCAGACTGGAGTGCATGGCCGCTCCCGGCCACCACAGCCTCGCCTGCTGGGCTCCGGCGATCCTTCCGCCTCAGCCTTCCGAGTAGCCAGAATTACAGGCGCGCGCTACCACACCCGGCTGATCTTTTGATTTATTGTAGAGATGAGGTCTCGCTGCCCAGGCGGGTCTCGAACCCACGGGCTCAGGCAATCCACTCACCTCAGCCTCCCAAAGGCACGGGATTACAGGCTGAGCCACCGATCCCGGCTCCCTCACTTCCTTTTTCAAAGTTTCCCGCTCCTTTCTGTCCTGCAGGCTCCCTGACCTCCTCTCTCACCGTCCCTCACGGCCACACTTCCCAGAATGGGTTTCCACGTGGCACGACACACTGGAGTCCCCGCACAGTACCTGAAAATCCCGACGACTTCTGAATTTCATGGGGGAGTATGACATTTGAAGAATGCAGCTTCTTTTTATACACAGGAAGGATTTTAAATGAAAGCCCTCATCTTTAATAAGCCTAACCAAGAATATCTTCCAGGTTATTGTACTTGGCGGTCGACCCCACCCCCGTGACTTGGAATTACGTAAAGTTAAATATTGTGGCAGAAGACATGTTCTGAGGTACAAACGTACTTATCAGTAATCCTCAAAATTACTACAACACTGATTTCTAAAAAGAGTAAGATCTACAAACAACTGGCTACACTGCCTTTCTCTACCATAAACAGTAAATAAAGATCAAAATCTTTTAGAATACTGACAATGTCAATTCAGATTTTTCCCAATTATGCCTCTAAACAGAGACAACTGAGTTGTTCTCTGAATAAAATAACACTCCCAATAGTACATAAAATAATCCCCCAGGATTCTCTTCTCCCCCACTTACAATGGAGAACTTCAGGTCGGAAACAATCACAGCATTCAGGTATTAAGTACTCACTTCTTCCGCCTGCATCATCTTAAACACCTCCCCAAATTCAGAATTTTCTCCAGTTCCAATGACAATACCCTAAGGGGAGAAACAGGCAAACAGTCGACATTCAAACAGAATCATCTCTTTCAATCAAAGCAAAGACAAAACCAAGTCCTTCCTTTCCTTTCTTTAAAGCCTTATCTACAGTGAGGATGCCTGACATACATGTCCCAAAAGTTTACTTAGCAAGCTTACTTTTCTGTTACTGTCGCTAGTGTTTACCCCTTATGATGCAAACCCTGGAAACAAACACCTCATTAAGCTTATTACTGACTCAATTCTCAGGCCCATTTTTGGCTTATATTCACACGAATAGAAATCAGAATCTCTATTACATTCAATACAGAAACATTTAACGTAGTTTGCTTTTCCCCTCAAATGCCAGTGAATGGTACTGTGTATACTGGTAGAATATCAGAACCCAGGAAACAAAATACTTGAGTAGGTGAACAAACATAGTCAGAACATCACAGCCAGCACCACATCAACTAAATTAACAGTGCATGTAACTAGTAACGAACACATCCCTGAGCCACGGCCTGTCTAAAAGGAAACAGGAGCGAGGACTACCCACTCTCTGTTAACTACCGTCCTCGGGCTCCGTTCCTCCCAGTTTCACAAAGAGCTGCCAGGGTCGAGGTTCAATTCTGTCTTTTCCTTGCCATGTATTTTGGAAAGTCCACACAGAATTAGCAAACAGGAATAGAGAAAGTAATTAAAAACAAAAGAAATGCCTTTTTAAAAAACAAGAAATGACCTTTGCTTTGCCACATCTGACCAGTGTCCCCATGAAGGCGACGTTACTTCTTGAAGCGAGGTCCCCATTAGCGGCAGCTGGCTGAGGAGCTGTCACCTTAGAGCATGGTGTTGTCTCTCCTGTCAAGCTGGACTCATCAATGGAAAGATCCACAGCCTTGGGGAACACAAAGAAGCCCATAAGTTCAAGTCTGTGCTCCATTTAACATCTCAAGAGTTCATAAGCATCACTTCTTCCTGAAATATCCCCTTTGTACTGACTGGCCACATCTTGTACCAAAACCATTACTGAAGTTAAGTCCACAAATCTGAAACATGCAAAGTAGAACGCTGTACCATGAAACTACATTAGCCTAAAAGTCAAAATATAACTGGGAAAAAAAGACACGGGAGAGACTCCATCTCTCATGACAATATTATTCCCTAATTTTGCTATGCCCCTAAAGTTCTGGGAATGTGTTGGCAGACAGAAGCAAACCACAACAGAAAGAGATACATGAGTAATAGGTTAAAAAGTTGATGAAATCATTTCATCACTCTAGGATTCATTTTCATGTAATTCTTCTTGCTTGTATCCCTACATGTATTCCAAATTACAGTCTGCAAGGTTCAAAAATGTATACAAATGTTTCCACGCAGATCATGATTATCAGAGTACCTTCTAATTCTGCAACAGGGTTCAATTCCAAAAGTTTTACTCTGACACAATTACGTTTTCACCTACCCCCATGTGGAGACAAAAATGACTCCATCTTGGGTGCTGACCTACCATGCTGGTTCCGATCAGCCCCGTACTTGATTGCCTCCTGTCTCCTACCTCAGTTACTGTCCCTAGTTAGGAAGAGGTGCTCCCGCTTTTAGAGCAAAGCAACTTTGAAGCTGTGACACAACACCCGGTGCTGAGGCACAGAGCACTCCTGCCTGCCCTGGAGGGCTCCCCTCCCTGGGTGCACAGAGCACACATGTTTCTTCCCGGTGGTCTGGGGTAATGGTGAGGACATCTACCCGTCTCTCAACTGCCCAAGATGAGGCTTCTGCCCTTAAGTTCCCTCAATACATCGCCCAAAACCAACAAACTGGATTTGTCTGTCCTATTCCTTGGTTCCCAGCTGCTTGGGCATTTGGGGATCACTCTGTACACACGGCCCTTACACAAAACCCCAAGCCTCTACAAGCTGAAATCACTGCAGATGTGACACAGTTGTTTCTGAAAGTGTGACCTCCAGAACATTTCCCAAGGATATAAAGAAGCAACGTGTACAATGTAACATACAGATGGATGACTAACTGATGGACAGGTACATGCATACACATAAGAAGGGAGGGGCCGCGGGCCAAGTACGCTTTGGAAATAACGAGTGAAGGCCAAACATCTCCCTGACTTCAGTGCCTCCCCGAGCCTCAACACAAGTAAGACACAGCAAGGGTTCTCAAAACGCCGTCTCGCAGGCACAGCATCACCTCAGAACTTGCTAGAAACGAGGACCCTCTGCCAGCCTGTGACGGGGAAAGTAAACCCAACAGACTACTCTCAAGCCCTTGATTCTGAGGCGCGCTCAGGTATGAGAGTCAACAAAATGGTGTTTCCCAAACTCCTTTCGTCTGTTTTATTCCAGAAGCACTTACTCAAGGTCCTAAGGGCACGCTAAGAAACTACGAACCAGTCAGTTCACGATTCCACTCGTTTGACAGGCTCATTCACCCACCCAACAAACACTGACTATCTGGCAAACAAAGTAGACTACTAAGCAGTCTCAATGCCACTTCAAGTTGGGCCTCTTAACTCATAGTTCTCACTATGTACAAAGTCCTCTAAACTTTAAATCTCTTTCTCTCTTTCTTTTCTGGAGGGGAGGAGAGAAAGGAAATACACCACATCTTTTTAAATGGTTCATTCCTTTTCTGAGCACAAATGCCTCAAATAATCTCATATAAAATAGCTATAAAAATAGGTTCACAGATTCTTCTTCCTCCTCATCTATGCAACAAAACTGTCTGAGTTTGCTCAGTGCCATGTATTCCTTCACTGAATAAGTACTTATGGGCACTTACGATGTGCAGGCCTTGTGCTACGTCACAACAGCGGTGGACAAAACTAAGTTCCGCCTGGGCTGTTATCCTAAAGGGAAAGTGATTTTAAAAATAAATAGGCAAGAGTAATACCCAATGTCAGGTAGGGGGAGGACAAGCGTCACAAGGACAGAGTAATATCCTAAAGAGGAGATGTCAAACAGTCCTCCAAAGCAGGCAGCCCTCTGCAAAGCTCTGACAGACCCAACGTGTCTGTTGGGTAGGGGAATGACCGACTGCAGGGCTGGGCCCACTCGGGAGGCAAAAAGGCCCTATGGGCAGGAACAGGCTTGGTGTGTTCGTGTGCGAGGTAAACGTACAACTTTGCACAACTTATTGAGAGTGTACAGCAGACTGTGAAGTTTAAAGATGCTTGGCATGGAAATAAACTGTATCACACAATTCTAGAGAGACAAAACTGTGTCAGCATGCCGAAAAATTCAGGCCGCATGGCAATGTCATGCATTTTAGTATCAAATCAGGCTTAACAAAAACTATTCCTTAAAACACAGATCAACAATCCTTTGCTCTTTAAAAGACTTCATATTTAATATAATTGTGTATGCAAACACACACCAGTTAAACATGGGCTCATTACCTCAACCCAACTGAAGATTTTTAAAACACCTGTCATGTCCGAAGGCAATGGATGTTTTCTTTACTAAAGGAACGTATTTACTTGGCGTTTCTTTCCTAATTAGCCTTAGAACTGTGTAGTTTTCACGCTGACACATTTATTAACAATGTAGATGGGCCTTCTCTTCAGAGGTGATGCTAGTACTAAATACAGCCTGCTGATATGTCACTGTAGACAAGTACTAGGCACCATGCCACGACACCTACGCCCAATTATCATACTTAACTCTACCAACAACTTCTGAGTGGCAAGGACCATTTTATGGACCCTCCGGAAGGTTAAGCAGCTCACCCAACATCATATAAATAGAAAGCTATGGAGATGAAATTCCAGTGTTGGCAGATGTCAACTCCAGATTCCTCTTAATTATTTAAAGCGGCAGTCCCCAGTCTTCTTAGCATCATGGCAGACAACTTTCCATGGACGGCGAAAGGAGTGTGGGTAGAGAGTATACACAGTCAAACCTCACTGCTAACGCTCCTCTGTATTTGCAGTCACTCCTCTGCACGAGCATCACCGCCTCAGCTCCACATCCGCTCACCAGGCATGAGATTCTCTGAAGAAGCACACAACCTGCTTCCCTCGCATGTGCAATTCAGGTTAGGGTTCGCGCTCCTCAAAGAACAGAATGCCGCTGCGAATCTGACAGGAGGCAGAGCTCAGGTGGTCATGCGAGCATGGGGACCGGCTGTAAGCACAGATGAAGCCGCACTCGCTCCGAGGTCCACCGCTCACCTCCTGCTGTGAAGCCCAGCCCTAACAGGCACCCGGGGCATTACGGACTCCTGATTTAGAGCATTCGTTTGCAAGTTATGTCTTCCTCAGCTTTATAACTAATTGTAGGAGAAGACAGACATAACACATTAAACAAAGATATGTAAAAACTACGTATTTTTCTGAATTACAAAAGTCAACTACATAAGGTTCATTTAGCAAACTCCTCTTTAATGCTTGTTAGTTACAACAATCAGAACTGAATGTAATTTTGAGATCTTAATTAGAAAAGAAAACTGATAATATTTTTAAAAACTTGTATATATTTACAAAATTATTCTCTCAGAGAGGTAAAATTCATTTCCCCTTTGAAGAGTTTTTACTTTAAATTTAAATCTTAAACATGGATAAATACTAAACATGAGGTGATCATTTATAGAGAGAAGGAATTTTTTTGTTTAATGTAACTTTTTAAAAAAGAGAAGAAAAGCAAGACTTACTGGCTATCAGTGACCTAGTGCTTCAGTTTCAGCCCCAGAGCAAGAGTCATTTAAGAGAGTAAGAATTTTTGGCTAAACAGACTATTCTACAGAAAAGAAGTCGGTCACTTTTAGCCCAACAGCAATCAGCTTTGTCTAGTGTAATAGAAACGCTGATGTGGAAAAAAAGGGGCTTGAGACCTTTACTGTTTTTCTACATTATAAATCTGTAACTACAACACAAATTATCACGACCATATAAATGGTGACATGTATCTAAACACATACAATGTCTCAAACTGCAAAGATCTCAACTATCCATAGAATACGAATATTTTCTAAGTTACAAATTATTTCCTCCTGATAATGACTGCAAGAGTTTTTGCAGGAAGCACTTTTGTGGGAGTGAGGAGCGCTAATCATTTCTAACAACAGAGGTATTTAATAAATTAGGCAAGCCTATTATACTTAATGAAGTCACAATTTAACTTATCTGAGAAGATGATTTACCCACTGTACTCAGAGAGAGAGAAAGGTGGGATCCAGTAGCTCTAAGAATCAGCCAGCCCCAGGTCACCTCCCAACACTGCAAGCAGGAAACTGGCAGAAATGAGCAAGCCACATATAACCCAAAATCAGAATATACGTAGGAGCTGGGCTCGGTGGCTCAGCCTGTAATCCTTCGCCTTTGGGAGGCTGAGGTGAGTGGATTGCCTGAGCCCGCGGGTTCGGGACCCGCCTGGGCAACTCGGCAAGACCTCATCTCTACAATAAATCAAAAAATCAGCCAGGCGTGGTAGCACATGCATGTAATTCCGGCTACTCGGAAGGCCGAGGCGGAAGGATCGCCGGAGCCCAGCAGGTCAAGGCTGCGGTGGCCGGGAGTGGCCACTGCACTCCAGTCTGGGCGACAGAGTGAGACAGACTCCTACTCAAAAAAAAGAAAAAAAAAAAAAGAAAAAGAATATACGTAGGAAACGACATTCACAGGTCATCTACAATCTGAGTAGTTGATACTTGTACAATAAAAATGATGGAAAAATTCACAACAGTATAATTCCCATAAAACCCCAACCCCAGGCAGAAATAAATCAAATGCCAGTCACGAAGCCTTCCCAAAAGGCAAAAAGTGACTGTTTTTTAAAAAATTAAGGTTAATGTGGAACAACTGGCAGTTACAAACAAGTTCTCAAAATACAAAGTATTCTGACCTACAGTACACTGCTAAGCTAATCAACTGTCTCAAATTAAAATATC